TTTCTTGGTCTCTGGTAGACTGTCACCTTCAACCTGAATTTGATCTGTTTGGCTATTCCTTTTTCAAAATTATAGAACATTTCAACCATAAAGTTCTTTTTTTTTTTAACTGATTTGACAGAGAGAGAGAGAAACATCAATTTATTTATTCATTGTTGCTTCTTGTATGACAGGGGATTGAACCTGCAACCTTGGCATATTCACATGGTGCTCTGACCAACTGAGCTACCCAGCCAGGGCTCAACTATAAAGTTTTTACTCAAAGTATAATCACATTGATAAATACAACATTGATATTATAGACATAGTACACATATTCAGGCATAAATACTTCAGACCCCACCTCCATTAGGTCTCTACTTCTAATAGGTCACCTCCAATCCTCTGTCACTGCTTTATTTTTTTGTTGTATTTTTTACCAGCTAACAATACTGTTTGTATTTTATCTGTTGGTTTCTATCCCTACTAGAATGTAAGCTATTTAGCCCTGGCTAATGTGGCTCAACAGATTGAATGCCAGCCTGTCCAAGGGTCACTGGCTAGGCCAGCCCGTTCCACTCCCGGTCAGGGCACGTGTCTGGGTTGCAGGCCAGGCCAGGTCCCCGGTCGGAGGGGTGTGATCGGCAACCACACACTGATGTTTCTCTCCCCGTCTTTCTTCTTCCCTCTCCTCTCTCTAAACATAAATAAATAAAACTTAAAAAAAAAAGATTGTAAGCTATTTAAGCTCTATGAAGGTAGGGATTTTACTGTTTTATTCACTGCTTTTCCCTAGCACAATATTGGACAGATAGTAGGTACTCAGTAAATATTTGTTGAATTAATACAAAAAATTTAGTGGAGGGTAGCACAAGGGGGCTTGTGTGCCCATCACACAGCTTAAGAAATAAAACATCATATATACACACATAACACATATACAATATAAACATGTGCAACAGTGACGTGGTGGAAGTCTCCACGGACCCTTCCCATTTTATGGCTCCACTTTCCTTCCCCAGAAGTAGTCACCATCTTGGTTTAAAATGTCTTTAGGCTCTTCACTTTCTCTCTCTTTTTTTTTTTTTTAAGATTATATTTTTTTAGAGAGAGGAGAAGGGAGAAAAACATCGATTAGTTGCCTTTCTCACATCCCCAACCAGAAGCCCTGGCCTGCAATCCAGGCATGTGCCCCGACTGGGAATTGAACTGGTGACCTTTCAGTTTTACGGGCTGATGCTCAATCCTCTGAGCCATACCAGCCAGAGCTATTTACTTTCCTTTAATAACGTTTACCAAATCTTCCTACTTCACACATAGTATGTGTTTCTTTTAGATAAATTAGAAAATACCTACAAGCACAAAAGGAAAAAATACCCAATAATCTTACCTGCCCACTTTGTATAATACATTCTTGTTTCCTACAGGACCTTAGGTAAGGTTCTTAACCATGGAACCTTGACTTTCTCAGTTTCTTACCTATAAAATGGGGAATAATAATAAAACCTATCTCAGGGATTATGGTTAGAATTAAATAAAAATCCACAAAAAGAGCTGTGCAGTAGTGCCCAGCACACAGTAATCACATAGACAGTGGAGATTATATAGGCTTTCAAGTGACTTCATTACTCTTTTTTGAATATAGACCTTACATTCTGTGTGACTTGTAAATCACCTTTGGGATTGATTTGGGAAGCGTGCAGTCCTGGTTGAGGGGTTTCCTCACTCATCGGTAGGCTTACAGGCAGTGTAGAACAAACGTTTTCATCTGCAGAAGACTACTTGGCACTGCCGTGAACTGACTGTGCTGTGTGCTCTCTCCAGGTGAAGAACATCATTTATCACGCAGTGAAAGATGCTGTTGGCACCCTCAAGGCTCATGAATCCAAACTGGCAAGGTCTTAGGCGTGGAGAAGTTCCAAACTCCCCTGCGAAGCAGGTCTTTCACTCACACACACACAGGGAACGGCAGGGTCCTCTGCTGGAGCAGGGAGGCCCGTCACTCAGAGCCAGTGTGGTCAGTATTACAAACTCTCCAGCCACTCTTTCCTACGCTGCCTCAACACTGAAGGTGGACACAGGAAAGTCACACTGTTCACACACACAGTTTCAGACTCTAAGCCGAGGGTGCCACATTCCCATCCTGTGGCCTTTTGGGACTCTGAATTGCCTGAACGTCGCTGGGCTTTCCTGCACAGTCTTGTGATTTGGGATTCGTGGAAACCAGGAATGTGGGCACACTTTTCTTTTCTTTTTCTCTCGTGCCTAGTTAAGTGGGAATGTCTGGAGGTATGGAGAATCACATAATTGGTACAAGTAGGGGCTAATTGCTTAAACATGCCTGGTAGAAGCCTGGCAGTGGCTCTGCATGTGACCTCTGACAGCCCATCCCAGGAGACAGGGTGAAGCCATTCCCCACAATCTCTCCCGTGAACACTGGAGTCTTGCAGGACCCGGGGAGGACCCACTGCTTTTCCCAGGAGGCTCCAGGATTAGGAAACGTGTGTATTTAGTGAAAAATAGGTTTGTAGTGAAATAGTTACTATTTCATGAAAGTAGATATTTTTAGAATTTTTGAAATACCACAGTTGTTTTCCTGGATTATGAGGAAAGGCACATTACATTTAGTCTTCCTTTCAATAAAATTCTTTGAAGAAATATGATTTTTAGAAATCAACTGCCCATTATAGCACAAAATCAGCCAAAGCAGAATTTACAAGAATTGGCTTTTTAGGATTCTTTTAGTGTCTCCCCCTCCCATCTCAGTCCTATCTTGAGGGAACAGCCACGTGAGAAGGAACTTCGTCCTGTCTGAGCTGTGGTGTGTCACACACACACACACACACACACACACACACACACACTGGTGACTCCACAACCATTGCCAGCGTTCCCTTGGGGCTCCTCTTAACAGGTCCAGATGCAAAGGAAAGTTTGTTTTCCTACATGAGGCTTTTTTTCGTTTGGGGTTGTTTTTTCTTTTTGTCCAGAAATATTTTCAACAAAACTTTCCAACTCAGTGGAGTTTTATTAAGAATTTATTTGAAAATAATGGAATTCATTGGCCCACGGGTACATTGGAAAATGTATCTGTCTTCTTTCTGGCTGTACTGTAGTGCCCCGCAGGCTTGTTTATATGTTCACAGTTACTTTTTTTTTAATAAAAGTCATTTACTGTAGAATACTTTTAATTTCACTTTCTGTACTTTAATTTTGTTGAAGGGCTGATTGGGATTTCCATGTTCTTATTAAAAATCTAACAAATTTGTTTGGAGTGGACTAAATTCTTATGCCAGCCATTCCGAAAAGCAAGGCGGGGTCGGAAGTGTAGGATGATTCATTTTCAGGTCTTCATTACATTGCTGCATCTGATTATTACCCTTTGCTTCCAAATTTGTTCCCAGTTGGCAGAGGGAAGTGCCAGGTCATTGTGGCTTGAGGGTTCGTGGTGGGGGGAAAGGGGCCACATGAGTTAGAGGATGGGAGGAGATGAGGCCCTCCCTTCCTGGGGCAGTCTAGGGGAAGGACGCGTGGGGGGTGGCCCGAGCAAGGTTTTGGACATCAGTGGTGGGGTTCCTCAAAGCAGGAGCCCCACATACAAAATGTGGCCCTAGATCCACCTTGGAGTTGGTGGGAGAAAACCCAAATGGGATTTATTTCTATCAAGCAGCAATGAAAGTGGCTTGGAGAGCTAGGACAAACTATATTCTAATTAGAAAAGGCCGTCTTAAGAGGAGGTTGTAAAGAACAGCAAAAGGGGTCATTAGAGGCTGCTTCTCTGGAGCCTGTTGGAAAATGTATTGCAAAGTGTTTAAGCCTGGAAATGCAGTTATCCGAGTGGAAATAGATCATTGTGTGATTCAAGGATACCGAGGTCGAATAAGACCATCACTGAAATACAGAGTTCTGAGCATGTTCTTTCAGCCTGGATGGGCCGGGTTGACGCTGTGATCACCAGGATTACACCTCCACAGGACAGTAGATGAGGGCAGAAGCTTTGATATGGGACAGGAAGGGAAAGCAATGGGGAGAATGGGAGTTGTGGAGTTTGCGGCTTTGTTGCTTTGGTGACAGTCAGGAGGCAGGGTAGGGCTAGCCTACATTCTGGATAAAAATGTCTTCGGAACTAGGGCATACGCAGCCACCAGTGCTAGCTGATGGGGGTGGGACTGGAGCCCCTGGAACCACCACCGACCGAGACCCCAGGCCTTTGAAGAAGGTCTGACTCAACCTCCTGCCCCAGGGTATTCACCTTGAGTGCACAGGGCACCCCTGCAAAGCTTAGGTCAGGGCAACCCTAAGAAAGCCGGTCAGATTCCAGGGTTTCCTTCCAACTGGAGTTGGGTATGTTCGTTCGTTCGTTTGTTTGTTTGTTCGTTCGTTTGTTTGTTTGTTTGTTTGCTTGTTTTTTAAGAGGGGAAGGGGGAGAGAGAAACAGGTGCAACTACACCTTATACATCGTTCTCGGGTACATGTCTTTACAGGACCCGTGGTGTGGGAGGAGGGTTTGCCGGTTAGCGGTTGGGAAAAGTTGCCTATTTAAAGTAGACTGCCTGGGTACATGCATATCTTAGAAGCAAGACTTCATGGTTCTGTGACACTGGGCAAATTACTGAACCTCCATAATTTTTCACATTTCCTCACCTTTGAAATAAGGGTAATTACAACCCCTGCCTTAGAGGACGGTCATGAGCATTTACTGATAGAACAAGTGCACGTGAAGCGCTTGGCACACAGAACGCATTCAAAGTCAGATGTTCCTCCTTATGGGATAGTTAAGCCTTTCAGCCCAACGTGTGCAGGGCAGGAAAAGGGCTGGGGTGTCAGGATGGAACCGTGAAGGCCTCTGAGGACCTCAGCCAGAGCTTGGAACCCAAGAGAGGTGAACAGATTTCAGAGAAGAGGGCCGGGCATCGAGGGTCAAAGGCGCATGCCCGGCAATGGCAGGTGCGGGGGGCGCGGAGGCCTCCCCTTTAAGAACCGCCACCGCCCACGGCCAGCCGTTGCGGCAGGGACCTCCCCTTTAACGGCGGTGGCTCCTCGCTCCGCGGCCCCGGCGGCTGCTGCTGCTGCTGGCACTGCGGCTTCTGCTGCCGCTGCTGCTCGACCTCCGGCAGCTGCATCCTCGGCCGGGTGGGGTCCCCACCCCGCGCCCCGCCATGGTGTCCTGGATCATCTCTCGCCTAGTGGTGTGAGTGCTGCGGCGGGTGGGAGGGGGATGGGGCCGCGGGTACTGAAGACCGGGGTGGACCACTCCGGGGCTTCATACAGCACAGTCACCTAAAGACACATCGTCCCTATTTGGGGTCCCCAGAGACATAGAGGTGTGGGACCCAGGGCGGGGAGGAATATGGAGAGGAGACTGGCAGGCCTGGCTTCCCATCCCTTTTATTTTTTATTTCCCTGCTCCTTCTTCCTCCCTTATCCTAGGGCTGAGCAGCATGGTTTGATTTATGGGGGAGGCGGGAGTGTCCCTTAACCCTCCTAGCATATCTGGTCTGGAGAAGCTGCTCAGACCTGGGCCCTCATCTCCCTGGAGAGAGGGAGCTGATGGAAGAGTGAGGAGCAAGGCAGGGCCTCACCGTTCCCCAGTTTAGGGCCGTAGCGGCAGCCTTGACCTCCCTGAAGGGCCGGGTCCCTTCTCCCCGCCCCTTCCACTGCCTGTCAGGAGATGGGGGATGAGGGCAGTGCTCTGAAGGCCCCTGGAGCGACATCTGGGTTTGGGGAGGCAGAGATGCTTGGAGGACAAAGTGCGGGAGGTAACTGGGAGAGGATGTGTATGCTCAGCTGGGGATTGTGAAAATCACCGAGGGGAAGAGGGGACGGCGCTAGGTGGCCTTCATTCCAGGCTTCCAGCCATGCCCCGAGAGCCGAGAGCCGTGTCACTGCCACCTCCCCCAGGCTCTAGAGGGAACCCTGATCCCACAACCCAACCCCAGACTTTGTCCTTGAGGACTCCACCCCCACCCCATCTCCACAGGCCAGTTCAGAATCACCCTGCCTCTGTAAGGCAGGTCCATGTGGGAACAGGCAGTACTCCCACACTGTCAAAGGGTTCAGCCTGGCAGGGGCTCCACATGGCCTCAGCCACCACCTGACTCATCTCAGGACCCAGACCCTCAGCCTCCACCATGGGGGACTGACACTTCCCTGCTGCCTTCCACTCAGTGTTGTCCTGTGCTTGTATCCTGGCTTCCTCCAGACACACCAGTATCTCCTTCCTTCCTCCTGCTCATCCCAACCCAAAGGGAATCTCGGGCCCCCGTTTCATGTGGCCTTCAGAGTGCCTGCTTCTCTCTTGTCTGGATGAGCCCCTGAGAGGCATTGGTTCTCTTATCCCCTCACCTGAGACCTGTAATGACCTCTAATGGGATCACCTGGTGGTCCCATTGGACTCCCACTGGCCTCCCACCAGACTCCGATCAGGGCCTCGAGACCAAGGCCTCCCCCGAGACTGATCCCGAGAGCGTGTACATGGGGGGTGAACCTCTTTGCCCGTCTCAGGGCCTCCTGCCCCTATGCCCTCTGCCCCCAGGGCCACAGCGGTGCCTCTGACCACTAGGTAGAGTGGCCTATAGACAGTGTCAGGTTCCCTTGCGGACCTGGCCCTACCCAGTCTGGCTCTGAGACAGGGAGGTAGAGGGCAAGGGCAGATGGGTATGAATGGACATGGTGTCTGCAGAAGGAAAACACCCTTTTGGCAGTGACTAGACCCCACTCCGCATACATGTTTGTGCATAACGAGGATCATGGCCGAGGGGACCACAGTGGACCCTCTAGGCTCTGGGTCTTTCTGTATCTCAGAAGCTGGAGAAAAACTAAGCAGTGGGGGGGGGGGGGATGTCACTTTAGCTGGCTGGGACCTCCATGCTTGTGTATCACCTGAGGGTTTTTTTGTTCGTTTTTTATTTTAGAGAGAGGAAGGGCGGGGGGAGAGAGAAACATTGATTCCTCCCTCCCCCCACTTATTTATTAATTCATTGGTTGATTCTTGTATGTGCCCTGATCTGGGGATGAACTCACAACCTTGGCATATCAGGATGCTGCTCTAACCAACTGAGCTATCCAGCCAGGGCTCACCTGAGTCTTGAGTTCATCAGTCCAGTTCCTGTCGCCTACCTGGGGAATGATGCGAAACTGAGAGGGCGAGGCCGCTGCTCCTGGCAGAGGGGCCCAGTAACCATGCCTGCCTCCCTAGGCTCATCTTCGGCACCCTGTACCCAGCCTATTCCTCCTACAAAGCCGTGAAGACAAAAAACGTGAAGGAATATGTGAGTGTATGACCCTTCAGCTCCCACCCAACCCACACAGTAGAGATGGGGAGGGCAGAGGGTCACGGAGATGGGGTGACTTTGTACCAGTGCCATTGGCACTAATAACACCGTGGTCCAGAGGAGGTTCCTCTGTGTTCCCCTGCCTGGGTGTGACCCTCAGGCAAAGCTGAGGTCCTGAGTGTGTCCCTTCCTCCATAGAACTCCTAGCATAGCTGGCAGGCAGGGGCCCCTCAGGCCCCAGCCAACGCTGCCTCTGTGCCCGCAGGTGAAATGGATGATGTACTGGATCGTCTTTGCCTTCTTCACCACGGCTGAGACGCTCACAGATATCGTGCTCTCCTGGTGAGGTCCAGCATCCCCCCTGCATCTCGGGGCCCGGGGCCTCTGACTTCCTCTTTCCAGCCAGGCAAACAGATTGAGACCCAGGGTGGAGACCACCGTTCTGTGTGGTTCTGAATGCCTGCCCCCAACCCAGGCCTGGCTTGGTTAGCAAAATAAGAGCAAACATACCCTTCACGTTTCTTTCTGGTGACAGCCAAAGCACCACAGTAGAATTTAGGAAAGCTCTTTTTGCCAGGCTTACTTGGCTCTGCGGCAGGTCACAACTCTCTAGGCCTCAGTTTCTCTATTTGTAAATGATTTAATCCTATACACATTGGATGCTTGTACTTCAAAGCCCTTTTCCAGACATAGGTGGACTATGTATGAACACTATGAGGACAAGGAGGGAGTGTCTTAATCTTCTGTCTATTCACAGCAGGAGCTCAGGAATGTTTATTGAACGGGCACACAGTGCACTGGAGTCACAAGAAGAGAGTTTGAGGGAGGGTAGAGGACGAAAGGTCACTGCATTTGCAGTTACACCAAGTCCTCACTTAACTTCATCAGTAGGTTCTGCAACTTTAAGCGAAGCGGTATATGACAAAACTAGTTTTACTATAGACTAACTGGCATAAATAAGAATGAAGTTCCTATACCATCTCATTGAGATGATAACAAACGACACTGAAGAAAAGGATATTATTCCCAGACCTGCTATAGAAGAGCCTATGGCCTTTGAGAAAAATAATGTTAGAGGAAGGAAAGTGGGTTGAAAATTGAGGGCAGTGAACACAGATGCCTCTTCGCCAGCACAAGCAAAGGAGAGAGCTGAGGTGGAGGCTTTGCAACACCTGCCGGAAGGAGTTTGTGACCCGAGAGAGGGAACATGGGGAATGGGGAATAATCCTTCCAAGCAAGGGGCATGTCTCTGCAGCCAGGGACAGGATCCAGAGCGCAGCCAAAACAGCCCCCGTCGTCATGGGAGGGAGGGGAGAAAGAGGGTGAGGACACAGTAGCCCTAGAAGATTAGGGAGCACAGCTTGGTGTTGGCCCCAGGACAGAGGAATAGGGGGGTCTTGTGTCAGGGTGAGAGGGCTGGGACTCCCAAGAGAGAAGAGGGCAAGGGAGCCACTGCTGAGGGGACTTCCTGCTGGGCTCACTTCTCGCCTTCCCACTTGGGAACTCAGCTGAACCTCCCAGTCCCCTTGAGATTAGAAATGACCAGTCTCCTGAGCCACATGGAGACCCCAGTGCACTAACGGCTGGGGAGCTGGCCAGGGTCATGCAGGGGATCAGTGCCCCTTCCAACTCCCTGCCCTGAGCTGTGCTGAGTGCCTGTGTCTCCCCAACAGGTTCCCCTTCTATTTCGAGCTCAAGATCGCCTTTGTGATATGGCTGCTGTCCCCCTACACCAAGGGCTCCAGTGTGCTCTACCGCAAGTTTGTGCATCCGACGCTGTCCAACAAGGAGAAGGTTTGCTCCCACTCGGCTTTTCAGCCGGCCCCAGGCTCCGGCAGCCCAGTGCCTGCAGCCACTTATATTCCCGGCCCTCCCTGAGGGTACCCAGAGCCCAAAGTGACCTAGCAGGGCCCTGGCCCGCAGTTGGCAGTGCCTTTGTCCACTGCCTACTGGGCAGGGCAGGGTCTGGCCAAGAAGGCTTGCCCTCACCTCCTCCCCCTTCCCCTCCGACCCCTCAGGAGATCGATGAGTACATCACACAGGCCCGAGACAAGAGCTATGAGACCATGATGAGGGTGGGCAAGAGGGGCCTGAACCTGGCCGCCAATGCCGCTGTCACAGCTGCTGCCAAGGTGAGATTCCCCACGCTCCTGGGGCCCCAGCTTGTCCATCACGTCCCACTGCTCCAGGCCTACTGCGTCTACCCTGTCCTCACAGCTGTGAAGGTTCGGAGCTTGTGCAGCTTGAAGGCCCAGTCCTGGTTCTGCCACACTCCACCTGAGTGACTCCCACTTTCCAAGCCAGTTTCCTCATTTACCCAAATGGGAAAATATGGCCCAGCCCATCAGTTCTGCCTTAGGACGGGACGAGGATGGTGTGGGGAAGGCACGGAGCCCGGTGGCTTCCCAGTGCCCCATGGTGACCTCTATCTCCACCCCGCCCCTTTCCCGGTCCTCCCGGTGCGTGGTGGTGACCCCAGGGCCAGGGGGTGCTGTCAGAGAAGCTCCGGAGCTTCAGCATGCAAGACCTGACCCTGATCCGGGACGAGGACACGCTGCCCCTGCGGGGCCCTGACGGCCGCCTCCGCCCCAGCAGCCTTCTGGACACCATCGAGGACCTAGGTACAGGCCCACGGCTGGGCAGGGGGCACAAGGGCAAGGAGGTGACCAGGCGCAAGAGACACCGAGACCACTGTTCTCTTCTCCCCACAACCAGGAGACGACCCCGCCCTGAGTTTAAGGTCTGGCACAAACCAGGCGGATTCCCGGACAGAGCCCTCTGAGGATGATGTGGGAGACAAGGCCCCTAAGAGGGCCAAATCCATCAAAAAAGTGCCCAAAGCTGAGGTGAGAGCCCAGAACTTGGGGAGGTGGGGCAGGGCTGTGGCTGCAGGCTGAGCGCTGTCTGTCTTCCTCCCTCCTCCCCGAAGCAGCCCCTGGCTTCCAAGACGCTGAAGACCCGGCCCAAGAAAAAGACCTCTGGTGGGGGTGACTCAGCTTGAGGTCTGGACACCCCACTGGCTGCAGAGCTTCCGCTCCGCACTGTGCCTGTAGCCGTGTGCTGCAGGCCCCAGGGCCCCTCAGATGGCTGTTTCTGGTGCCCGCCCAGTGGCTGCTTGTCTGGAAGGGCTTGGAAAAGAGGAGGGAAGCCTGCTGGGGGGCGGGGGTGTGGGTGAAGGTGGAGGCTGGACCAGGAGCTGAGGACTGAGCCACCCAAGAAGGTGGAGGCTCCTCAGAGCCTGAACTGCCACTCTCCCTGCTCCAGCCCTGTTTGCCCACCCAGTGCCTTGCTGAAGACCACAGCCATCTGCTTCTCTGAGGTCCTAAGTGCACCTGCTGCTGTCCCTGGGCTGGGGGTAGGGGAGCAGTCACAGCCCGGGTGAACCAGAGGGCAGGGAGGTGCCTGGGGGAGGCAGGGGGTGAGGAGGGCCTCAGGGAGCCTGGGCAGGGGCTGCAGGCCACAGCTGTGAATGGCGGCTGGGGGCTGAGTGTGGGCTAGAGTGACCGGGATGGCCAGGCCAGAGCCGTAGTTGGGGCATTGGATGAACTGTGTGTTGGATGTCCCCACTAAAAGGACATGGGTTTCTGGGAGTGTGGGTGTGTTTTTCCGGGTCCAGGGCTGGGGGGTTTGGGGTACAGGACTTTCCCTCTCACGGTGGTCTCTCCCTGTGACCTCTCTCCACCCTCGGCCCTCCCTCCTAGTCTCTGAGCCTCACGGGGGCCCAGCCCATGATTGGCTCTGTGGGGCCTTTCACGAACTCCTCTGACCTCAGCTCTTTTTCGCCCCTTCCCATTCCTTTCCTGCCCCTGGACTGGACTCCTCTACCCCTCGGGGCCCACCGGAGAGGCCCCTGCTGAGACAGCTCCTTTCCTCCACACCAGGAGGCCCATCCTTGCCCCAGGTCTTCCTGTGCCAAGGAGACGGGCTCCACGTGAGCAGCCCCCTGCCAGAGCCCGCCCTTTGCCCTACGTCCTGCCCTTAGCATTCTGCTGTGACTTCAGTCAGAGCCAGGAAGACTGTGTGAAGGGGAAAGGAAATGGAGGAGCCAGGGGTTCCCAATTCATTAGAAGTGGATGCTCATTCAACCTTTGGCACTGGACAAACCAATAAACCAAACTCTGGCACCACATTAATCTTGGCCCCTGCTTTGTTCTTGCCCTACCTGGTCCAGGTGGAAGGACCCGAAGTGAGAAGGGCCCAGCTGTGGGAGGGAGGGGTCAAGAGGTCCGGCTGTGAACACCAGAAGCTCTGGGTTCAAGATAAAGTCAGGGGACCAACAGTGGTAAGGACTTAAGAAGGGTTAGGAGCCTCAACCCTCTAGGGTTGCCTCGTCTCTCGGAATTCTGCCCCAGGCCCTGGCCAGGGAGCTTGGTTAGAGCATCATCCCAAAACACCAAGGTGGCGGGTTTGATTCCCAGTCAGTGCACATACAGGAATCAACCAATGAATGAATAAGAGGAACAAAAAAATTGATTTCCCTCTCTCTCTTCCCCTCTTCTCTCTCTCTAGAAATCCATTTTTTAAAGATTTTATTTACTTTTAGAGAAAGGGAGAGAGACATCGATGTGCAAGGTAAACATCAATCAGTTCCCTCTCACACACTTCCAACTGGAGACCTGGCCAGCAACCCAGGCATGTGACTTACCAGGAATTGAACCTGCGAACTTTGTCTTTGTGGGACCATCCCCAATGCACTGAGCCACAACTGTCAGGGATAAAAATAAAAATCAATTTAAAAAAATTTTAAAGAATCCTTCCCTGAGACCCCCTCTCCAAATGGACTTTCTGGTACCTCATGGGAAGTGCCAGGGGTGAGCTCTGGGGACACAGACTCTGATGAGGCCTGCATGGAAGAGAGGTTAGGGGTTGGGGTCCCACAGTGCCTAGAAAGGCTGAAAGGAGGAGACAGGTGGGTTGAGGAAAGAGGCGGAGCTAAGAACCAGCCCCGACCCTAGGAACAGAGGAGGAGGACAGGCCCCCAAGGACTGGGGCCAAAGAAGCAGCCCATGTGGCCCCAAAAGGGAGGGGTTGGGGAAGGTCAGAGGACAGACCGAAGGAGACTATTGGACGTGGGGCCCGAGCCTTTGGGAGGTGGAGTCCAGGCCACTAGGGGCCAAGGGGCATGATTGGCTGGGACTGAGACCCTGGAAGGCAGAACTTGGGAGAAGGGCAGGGGTGGCAGGAGAGTAGAAGTAGCATCAGAAGATAAACAAAGGCACCCTGATCAGTGGGACTCAGTTGGTTGAGCATCGCCCTGCAAAAGCAAAAGTTCACTGGTTCAATTCCCTGTCAGGACACATGCCTGGGTTGCGGACGAGGTCCCAGAGTGAGGGCGTGTGAGAGGCAGTTGATCAATGTTTCTCTCCCTCTATTTCTCCCTCCTTTCCCCTCTCCCTAAAATATCATTTTTAAAAAAGAAGACAAACAGGCCCTGGCTGGTGTAGCTCAGTGGATTGAGCGCGGGCCTGCGAACCAGACAATCGCAGTTCGAAGCCCAGTCAGGGCACATACCAGGGTTGCAGACCAGTTCCCTGCAGGCCAGTTCCCAGCAGGGGACGCACAAAAGGCAACCATACATTGATGTTTCTCTCCCTCTCTCCTTCCCTTCCCCTCTAAAGATAAATAAATAAAAATTTAAAAAAATAAAAAAGAAGACAAACAAAGGGAACAAATGGGGAGGGAGAAGGAGCAGAGAAAGAGCTGCTCGGCCTGGTGGAAGGAAAATGGAGGAAGCAGAGCCTGGATCAGGGTGGGGAGCGAGAGCAGCTGCAGCCCCCCCCCCCCCAGGGCTGACAGGCTTTGCTCTTCCTTCTCTGGCATCACAGAGGTAGTCCTCCAGCCACACTTGAGCCAAGCTGACCTAGAAGGTCCGGAACTGAGGCTGCAGTGGAAGTGAGGCGTGAGATGCCCTGTCCATGTTCCCTGGAATCCTCCAGTCAACAGCCCTCTCCCGGTCATTCCTGTCACCACTGGCCTCCGAGAAAATGGGTCCCTTTCTCTACCAAAAAGGAGAGGAAGTCTCGGGGCAGAATTCAGGGGAGAGACTCCTTTGTTCTAGAAAGATCTCCAGAGTAAGATTCTGCAGTCTCACGCTAACAGCTACCATGTGGCCAAGAAAGCAGGTTAGGCCTCTCTGACCTAAATCTCATTTGTTGCTTTACACACATGGTCACACAATTGCACCCACAGTGACAGGCAGCTAAGGGGGTCACTGCCAGATGCCGCATTGCCAGGCTCTCCATGCACATCTGGGCTTCCCTGTGTCGACTAGAACATGCTCAGATTTCTAAACGCATTGGTCCGTTGCCATGGAAACAATCTTTCTCCTAGAACCATCTCCGCACAAGGCCTGGCCGCTGTGCTGCAGGGAGGAGAAGAGAGATGGGGGGGGGGGTGACAAAAAGAATGAGTGGCAAGCCTCCTGGGAAGAGGTTGGTGGGAAACATTTGGGTCTAGGTAAGCCCTTGCTGTCTCATTTCCTGGGGCTACCTACCCCCCCCCCCAGTGTGTCAGTAGATCCCTCTAGGCCTGGAGAGTGGGATAGAAAGATTGGAACAAGGTGTGTGGCTACAGCTTTGTGGAGGGCACTCACTCACTGCCTAGGCCCTTGGTGGGCACGGGAGATCATTAGCTCTGGAGCAGGGGCTGAGGTCTGGCTCTTTGTCTGACACCGAGACCATCTTAGGGGCAGGGGGCAGGCTTCCAGGCCTGAGATTTCTGGCTAGAATGGCCTCAGGCCTGAAGCTTCTTCAGCTGGCTCCCTCTCTCCTTCTTCTGTGTGTCCCAAACCTGGGGAACCTGCTTAAAATGGGATTTCCAGGCTGTGACGTCAGAGAAAAGCCAGCAGCTCCAGCCTGTGCCAGCTCTTCCTTGATCAATGGAGCTGAGCTTAGCCTTGCTCAACCTGGAGGAAAGAGAGGGAGGCAGAGGAGACAGGGGTCCTGGGGCCTCTGGGCCATGGTCCTGTATCTGTGGAATCTAGTTTAAGAGGGAGAGACAGTTTGGTTCCCTGGTCAAAATCCACTGCTGGCTTCCCCACTGCCTTAAATTTTAACCAATACCTGATCATCTCGCTCCAAAATTCTCCTAATTTTTTTCCTCTTTGAGCTTGGTTAGGCCTTCCCCTGGAGGAAGAGGGCACCTCAAGTCTTAGAGCCATTTGGGTTCTGCCCTAGAGCTTGTCCCTTGTCTAGGCTGGAGGCAGCAATGCGTGGGAGGGATGCCTGCAAGGAGGAAAAAGTCCACTGGGTGGCGCAGCTCCCTCCCAATATGGGATTCCCTGGCACCCGCAGGAGGCAATCTTTCCTGCAGCCTGTCTGCTTAAAATGTGGAGAGCGGGTGCCTCATGCTTCTCTCCCTGGAGTTGGATATTCATGAAGAAAGCATTCTTGTGGGTAGACAGCGCAGTTATGGATTCTCAAGCAATCGCTTCCTAAGCCCAGCCTGTGTGCACACCCTCTGCCTACTCCTCTCAGAAGGTCAGACCAGAGGGCAGGTACGCCCTTTGCGTGAGGATCAGGCATCTCCTGGGAGCAGGGAAATTGCCAAACTGACCCAGGAAGGGCCCTGCAACCCAAAGGACCCAAACCGGGCTCCTGAAATGGCATCTAGAGAGGCTACTGCAGCTGATTTCAGGGTCAGGTAAGGAGAGGGACCCAAGGGGCTAAGGAATTTATTTGGGAGGAACAGATTGGATCCAGAGCAAAGGAAGGGCACCTAGCACAGGATTCCCTGGATATGAGCCCCCTGATGGCCACAGTGGCAGTTTCAGGCCTGCTCCGGTTTTCCCTGTCCCCTGCCCCCTCACTTATTTTCATGGATATCATGGGGTTAAAAAAAAAAAGGACAAAGACACTAATCTCCAAACCCTGTAATCCCAAGGTATTTTTGCAGGAGCCCAGGCTGGGGATTCTCAGTGATCTACCTTTTCCTGACCTCTTTCCCAAACTGACCCCACCAGCCCTGCATCCCTAATGAGTTAGCCTCTCCTTTTGTCCTATAGCCAGATGAGTGATCAATAAATAATGCTGCCTGAAATATTAATGGTGAGTTTTACACCAGGATCCCTGAGCTGTGCCTGTCACTGGGGAATGCCGGAGCTGACAGAGAAATGCACGGCCCCCAGAGCGCTCTCCCCTGTCTCTGCCAACAGAAGGTCTTTCTTTGCCAAGATTTCAACCTGTTCCCATCTCAGCCAGAATCATGATTTACTCCTATCAAGTAAGAAGAGGGAAGGTCCCTCCGAGACTGACTCGGTCGGCCCCTGGGAAGGATGGGGTAAGCTAAACCAAGCAGAGACCCTTCTTCATACAAATGCCTTATATGATACGATTGAGATCTATGTCCATCTCGGACCTGCCAGGTCCAGCTTCCTGAGTGGTGGCTCAAAAGGAGACCTGCAACTTCCCCACCCCCACTTCTGACTATTTAGAGCCTGAGCAGAAGGGACTTACGTGCTCCCAGACTTCTCTGGCCTAGATCACTCTCATCAGGTTTTCTTTCCCCTGGAAGAAGGGAAGGAGAAGGAGGAGGAAGTGAATGCTTTGGGGCCCCCCTGAACCCAACTCACCCAGTGCCAGCGCCGCTGCCCAAGCCTGGCACTCAGAATCTTTGCATGCACCGTGCCTTCTGCCCAAGCACTTGTTCTCCTGCTTCACTTGGCCAACTCTTGCGGGCACTTCAAGTCTCCACTTACCTGCGACTGCCCCACCCGCTCCCTCCAGGCCCCTGGAGCTTCCTGCTCTTCCTCCCTGACAGTTACACATCACCCTTTTTGGTCATCATCTGTTTCCCCACCAAACTGAAAGCCATGTAGTAGGCAACGGGTCTACCTGGTTCACCATTTCCCCAGCAACTAGAACAGTAAGCACATGGAACAATGTTGTGGAATGTTCGAATGATGTCCCTGTAGTGCTCCTGGAAAAACACCAGCCTCCCGGCCTCAGCACCCCCCCGCTGAGTGGTGCTTGCACCTGAGGATGGCGGGGCTGCAGCTCAGATCCGCCCCCTCCCTCCAATGGCTCCGCATATGTGCAGGCTCACTTGCTCTCCTTTTCTCTCTCTCACACACACAGATGGGAGTCAGCTTTCCAGCCACATTCAGTTCTCACTTTAATTCAAAAGCTATAT